AGAAGATTTTCATTTGGCTGGGCTTTTGCAACTTTCCTTTTGTGGCTGCATTCTCTGTACTACATGAAAGTAAAACTCTCAACTGGAAGAGAAAAATTATTTTAACAATTCAGATTTTGAATAATTAGATGCCAATTTCAGAATGTGTTTTGCATAGAAATACAACTTTTAGAGAAACCTCTTGAGTGCATGCAAGCTTTTTAGTCTTTACTGTTGCTACCTTCACAAGTAAAGAACCTCATCTTTCAATCTCTGACCATACATGTTCTTGAATGACTTGATTTGTTGTGAAATTAGTCATTCTTCACAGCGGAATGTTTAAGAGTAACACCTTTCTTTTTCAAAAGATCCAGATTGAGTTGTATCTTTTATTTTTTCATGAATTTTGCTCATTTTTAACTCAACCTCTAGGTGGCATAAGCATGATCAAGTGTTGTTACAGAAAGATAGCCAAAATTCTGAAAAGCAAATAATTTGGACTTGAACTCTTCTTTCTTACATTACTTTTGGTTTTTCATTTAAAGCAAGTCTAAGTTCATCATCCAAGACATATCTTTTTTAGTGCTTTTTGAGCAAGTTTAAAACACCTCTGCAGTAGATGCTGATACTTCTACCAGATATCAAAGTAACAAATAAAATGTTCACTGAACTGCAGATTCCCCATTAACAGTATGAAAATGGTATACCAAAGAAAATCTCCATAATTCCTCCATGGTTTTGTACTCTTAAAAAAGAATCAGATTCACCCATCACCAATGAAAAACACCTGAGCTCTTCCCTTCTTTCCTTTCCACTACAAAAAAAGGCTACATAGCCAACTAGAGAGAAAACACATCTGTCTACACATCAGTGAAGTCACTGAGATCCAATCACATTTTCTCTCCCAGATGCAGAGCCCTGTATTAGTGAGCACAGTTTGATTAAAACTGAGTCATTGTTAGATGTTTACAGAAACATACTGATTAATTCAGAAACCCTTTCTTAACTTCTAGATACTTTAACTCATTGATGTGACATTATCTTATTTATGGAATATACAAGTAGAGCCACACATTGGCAATATCACCATCACCATATACATGCAGGCTGAGTCTGGAGTGGCAAGAGAGAATTTCAAAAGCCTTTTGACAAGATCTCATCTTTTCTGGTGCAGATGCAAAAGAAAAGGTAAGAAGAAAAAATGTTTCCTCTACACAAGACCAAAGTATTCTTTTTTATCCAGTTCTTCCAGACTATATTCAATAACCCTTTCCTAAAAAGGAAGTTTGGAGCTATTAATTCAAATTGTATCTGCATATGACACTACCCAAGATTTTGGCTGTTATCTTATTTAATCATTTTGGCTTTGCTCCCCCATTGTAACACCCTGTACACTTTGCTGAGCACAATATTTTTTTTTAGACAAAACAGTGAGTGATAGAAGTACACAGATTCTTTTGTTTGTGCATGCCAGAGAAGCTTCAACAACACAAGCAACAAAGCTTAAGTGTCTATATATACACATAAACATGAATACATAAAAAGATAAACATTACCAACAACCTCTCAAAGTAACAGGAAAACAAAGCCTTAATCTTTATTTTTGGTTTGCTACTTTTAAAAAATTGAATATTTGTACATTATCACCTAACGATTACTCTAGCAAAGATTTTGTATTCCAGCAGGTTTTAGTCAACAATCTGTGGGCATTACAGATTGAATTACTACTTATGATATCTTTAATAATTTTAAAACAATTTTAAAAGTAACTATATTAACTGTAGCATACTTGTAATGAACTGCAACCACTTCTTCAGTAACTTCTCCAAAAATCCAGCAGTACATGAAGATTGTTGGACAGTACTCTGCCAAACTTGTTACCTGAGAAGTGCAATGTAGATCAGGTGCTCCATATTCAATAAAGTAAAAGACCATTAAAGTGTATGCAGTTCATTGTGCAACAGTAAAAAAATCATATCCACTGAACAAAACTAGACCATTCTATTCATTCTATTTAAAACATAATTTACTTTTGAGGAATGAGGTCACGTGGCTGTTCTCTTCTCTCAGCATCCATGGCTTTTAGTTGCTAACTTGAGGATATGTCCATGGTCTCAAAGAAACGGAAATCAACAGATCACAGTAACAGAAACTAATTGACGTCACAGTGTTAACCAATTACCAACCAACATGAGGAACACAATCCTACCTTTCCCTATAAGCAGGATGTAGTCTTGTTTAAAAAAAAAACTGTTTATTAAGTTATTCTCTGATAAATTCCTGCAATGAGCTATCGAAATGCAATTTCTGGAACAGAGAATGGTGTAGAAGAAAAGCTGCCACCCAAAAGACATAGTTTGACAGTCAGTCAGATCTTGTTTTAATATTCTTCATGGATCTCTTTTTTTTTCTAGCAATCATTTTAAAAACCAAAGTTATAAATAAGTATACTTCTAGCCAACTTATGAACTTGAATATTTGTGACAGTTACAGAATGAGAGGATAAAGATGCAGACACTAAGCTTACAACCTTAAGAAGAAACAACCTGTAAGAAGAAACAGGAGCGACCTTAAGAGCTAAGTGCTAACAAACTTTACTATTTTATTTAACAGTATAAGTTCTAGTTTTAAATAAAAACAACGTTATGAAACAGAATGGATTATTTTCTGAAAACGAAAGAATAAAAACCAACAGTAGCTTCCTGAAAATGAAGTCACACATTTAAAATTCACTGCTCTTCCAGCCTCTCAATAAAATTTTGGATTAAGTGTATATTAATAAAACATTGGAAAAAAAACTGGTCACTGGTTCATTAGCTCAACTTTCTGAAATACTCTGAAATTCCTTCACAAGACATAACTGAGAAAAACAAAAACAATGCTCGAGGACAAAAATGAGGTAAGCAAAATGTAAAATGTCAATAACACTTCAACTGTGCACGATGGGCAGTATGCGTGATCTGTAAAAAAGGCAAGCAATGATCATTGCAAAATTTTTAGAATCACAGAGTAAAGTTAGTCAATAGCAAATGAAAGTTACAGTGAAATTTTACAAACACCATGAAGAAAATGCATTCATGCAATACCGATGTTCAGTATACAGCTGTTGTGGAGAGAAAGGAAAAACAAAAAAAACTACTCAGATGCCTTAGTCTGCTTTTGTTGTAAAAGAGAATCATTTCAGCCCAGTTTTTGCTCCAAGCATAGCATGGTTGCAAAACTGGCTCCTCTACTACGGTGACTACTTTTCTTCCACATGTATGGGGGAAAAACCCTTCTAGAGTTACAAGAAGAGAAAATAAGCAGGACCCTAAGAATCAAGTCAGTCAAGTCTTTTGCTCAAAACTATAAGGGAAACACTGATAAAGATTAGCATTTCAGAGAAAAAGAAAACACCTTGAGGTTAGTTTCTTTTTTTAAAAAGAAATCCGTCAATAAGTAGATAATTTAGTGGTACCGTAAGATTAACTCCTTATTCACTTAGAGAGAAAACTCTATATAGCAGGAGTCAGATCAACTCTGCAACAGACCATAATTCTTAAGTTAAAAACATGTTCTTAAGTAAAAATCTGGCTATAATATGGCAACTTTGAAGGCTGCCACAGAAGCTGACACGAAAGGAAAGTTATAGGCAAAGAATTTGTAGGCCTCCTAGCAACATTCCTCGCTGTCATCAGACACCACAGTTGATGTTGCTAAAAGTCAGTGCCTGTGCCTGAACAAGTAGGGGCAAGAAGAAAGCGTGTGAAAAATCCTTGTCCTTATCTGCCTGATGCACAACTGTCAGGATGGAAGCAGAGTGATGAGCACCACAGACAACACATCTGACAATGGCGAAAATACCACATGTGACTGCCTTCTAAAATGCTGTTCTCCTAGTATTTCTGTTACTAGTTTCCCTTATCATGAGCATGAAATGTCACATAACTGTGTTTTTATATAGAATTCATAAACAGTATGCTATTTTTATGGAGGTTTTTTATTATTTTATTTTCTCAGTAGAATTATCAGGATCTGTGATAGAATCCTTATCCTCTTCAAATACTCTTCAAACTTTGTTTTCTCACCTATTTTATGAAACTAACTTTTGAATGACACTTAAAGAGTTTAAAAGTTTTAGATTTAAGTATTCATCTACTTAAAAATAAGCCACTTAAAGTAAGATCAGAAAATTAGCACAGTTTCTGCCACTCATTAATAAGATAATTACAACCACACTTGTTACTGTGAAATAATTTTCCTAAATTCCACCACTGCATTCAGATGATTCAGAGTTGTGATTACACAGTGTCAGTGTAGATTCTTTACTACAATACATTAATATAATTTGTGTACTTTAACATTTGAATCTTTTCCACTGTGCTGCATATTCAGGTACGGTGATTACTGCAGCTTTTATGTTACAAGTACTGATATATCAGGTTACTGCAATATGGAGAAAAAAAGTGAAATTAGAAAAAAATATTCTTCTTGTAGCAGTTCTCTAAGGGGAAAAAGTTTCCTATAACCCATAATTAAGAAAATTTAGTCAGATGTTTTCTTACAACATTTTAATCTTTGGAGTTGTCTTCCTATGAGAAACTAAGATCTATCTATATGTTTGAGAAAATGAAACACTGATTGATAATGACTAGGTCAAGAATACTGAAATCTACTGGAATTCTTTTCAATCACCATCCTAAACCAGGTCCTTCTTATGCCTGATAAGAGCAGGAAAGAATTCTTAAACAACTGGGTCTTCCGTAGTTTGCATACAAATCAGTAATGGTATGCAAGTCTTCTTTTCCAGAGGGATTCTGATCTCAACTCAACAAATACGAGTTTAAACTACGTTTTTAGAAACAGTAATTTAGCAGTGAAGATTTTCTTATTCTATTTTGGAAGTAGAACGAAAGATTTTCCTAAGCAGTGTAAGGAATGGTCTTGCTATATAAGCTGCTATCTTTATTTGTATAGGCTCAGTAGTTAAAATTAACGGAAGCCTTTGTTTATTTGTCATTTATCTGCTTTTAAATACTTACAGTGAAAAATACGGAAATCAATGTATGGATGAGAACCTCTTCTCTCTGTTTCAAATCCTGCCCGACTTCTTACTCGCACATCTCCTAGAAACAGGGTCAAGAGTGAAATAAAAGTGTGGAAGAGTGGCAGAGATAAAAATGCAAATGAACATAGCCTGGAGGGGTAAAGACTCATGTACTTAATGGAATAGGGTTATTCAAACAATAGGCCTATTTCAATGCTTTTCGTTTTAAGGTGAAATTCAAAACAAAGTTTGAAGACTTGTTAAACATGCAACTGCATGCTTCCTTGTCAAAATCTCTCCTGCCTATGCATATGTTGCCAGAAGCATGTGATAAGCATTCAGATGAAATTAGGAACAGCTTGCTACACCAGTATGGTAAAAATGCATCTTGATATGACAAGAAACAATAACATTAAAGTTTATTTGCTCCTCAGTAACACACACAAAACAAAAACATTTTGTATAGTACAAGATTCAGCTTCTAGAAATGGTAGCTTTTAGCAAAGAAGCTAGTAATAATATGGTTCTATATTACATAATAGAATGTTTTCCCACTAGCATTTACTTACTTGTGCTCAGCTGTTTGAATATTACACATGAGCCTATTAAAATACCAAAACTCAGTATTAAAATTCTATAACACTATTTTACACTGCAGTTTAGATTTAACCTGAATCTTTTAGCATGCTCGCTGATTTCTTTTTAGGCATTTTAACCAACTGAAAGCTGATCAGTATTCTTTCACAACGCAGTTACATACATTAGCGGAAGTAATTTGCTTAATTAAAAACTTTCACTTTAAAACCTTCAGCAATGACAAATTTGGGCAACCTGAGGATCAAACAGCAGTATTTCCCTCTAAGATCCTAACAAAAAATAAAGTGAAATTTCAGATTGTTTTTCAGTATTCTGGTTTCTAATTATGAAAATCCTACAAGGGTATCATGTTCCTCTCCTCAAACAGTGATTTTCTTATTAATCAAAAGTATTTAAGGCAAGAAATGGATTGGTTTTATAAAGAATAAAAAATAGCTACTTAATTTTCAGCAATCAGTATTATTGTGCTTTTTCCTTTTCCTTGCAACTTGCTAATTTATAAGACAGCTTAAATCAAAAGATACATGACGATACTGACCAAAACGTTAGTGACATGCTTTTCACGCTTAACAAATATATTTCCAGAGATAAGTATCTATAAACACAGACGTATCTGCAGTGACACATTTCACATGAATGTTATCTTCTGAGGCATGCTGGAAGCAGCACAAAAGATAAGCAGCAGGCTCCCTGGTAAGGAGTCTAGAGTCTTTGTTTCAGTAAAAAAATTCAGTAAAAACATACCAAATACAAGTCTTTGCTTTGTTGCTTTTTTTTCTTTTCTTTTCCTTGAAACTTAAAAACTTAACAGGTAAATTAAGCAAGGTAAATTAAGTCTATTAGTACCTGTAAAAACCATCATTTAGACCACTGACAATATAATGAACTATAAAGATTTCAAGCATTCATCTGGTCAGGGATGAAGAGACAATACAGAGGCAGCAAATTGTAGAACTCTTCAGTCAGGCCCAAAGACAGCTGGTGAATGTTATTTGAGAAATGAGTGAATAAAAAGGAAAAGACAGGAAGCTTAGGAAAAGGAGAGGTGAGTGCGTTAATAGTTGTGTAAGAAAATATCAGTTTATACAAAGGAAAAATGCAACTTCCATTACCCGTCATATCTATTTATCTGACAAATCAGTCACAGCCATGGCTGTGTGACCTTTCAGCACACCAGCTGCACTGAGCAGTTGAGCTGATTTTTAACAAAATATGATACAGCTTTTGTGAATGGCACTTATTTTCCAAAGCATTCTTAACCTTTGAAATTTTACCAGCCTGCACATTAACTAGCATATAGTTTTGGGCAGCATACAAAAGGTTTTGTGAATAATTTACTCATTAGAAGCGTTGAGAATAGGAAAGGTTCACAGAAAAACACATCGAGACTAATACAGAGCTCAGCAAACTACAAAACAAATAAGTTCATCTGACAAATAATACCCAGAAAAATTCTCTCTGCTTTTTTCTACTTGTTTTAGTGCCTCATCTAACAGTATAGCTAGCATAATAGTACCCCCATTTCTCCTGAAAAGCTCTCAAGGTTGTGGACTTTGAGCAGGAAAGAAAAAAACAAAAGGAGAGTAAGACTATTGCTTTTACCAGGAGTTACATTCAGAACACACTTGTTTTTATTCTGGCATTCTGGAATAATTATCAGTTCTCCAGGACTGGAATTTACCACAGTACACCAAACAAATTCCTACTGGGTCAAAACAAAAGCAGAAGAGCACAATGATACTAATCTCAACTGCATATACGTAATTAGTCCCAAACATCCAGAAGTACCTGACCATCATTATGCATTCATGGTTCAACTGATCTGACCTGCTGAGATCAATGGATGCCAAATGTGCCCACTTTATTGTGCTTTCTCAGAGCACAACACATTCACACTGATTTGGTTGAGAAACTCTGTAAAGATTTTGTAACTCTATGACTTGGAAATAAATTTAAGAAAAACATGATTGTCATCACAGGTAACTTTAAAAAAAAAAGGTGTAAAACATTTCAGATTGAAGATGATTTTTACCAGATACAAGGACACTTACGTAATTCTTTCAAACAGCAACAGAAGTCCAACATAAACGCTGGTTATTATTACGGCAGATAAAAGATAATTAAAGTCAGCACATAAACCAAGATAATTTATGAAGTTTCTATTTATTTAGGCCTTTTAAAAAAATATCAAAGTGATTATGAAATGCTTTGATACCATCAGATCACAATGCTTACAGGTAGATTTCCTTAGTGGGGCAGAAGTGGTAGAAGATAACAGCTCTCACGTTATGTGTCTCTTTAACAGTTATTTCAGCCACTCTGAATTAACTCCTGTTTTCTTAGGGAATGCATTCAAGTCCAGCATTATAATGATAATGGACTTCCAGGAATTACTTTTTTTTCTTCTTTGCAAGTATCAGTGAATTCAAAGAATCAGGAGAAAGCTTCTTAATATGTTTCTCAGCTTTCCACTCAAAGCTTGATTTTGCAGGCAGACCTGACACAGTGTCTGCTGCCTGAATATCCAACTCAAATTTTTTTCCAGAATAGTTCTATGCAGATTTTTTTTTTCCTTCCTTCAAAAGACATAGGCCACAGTGAAAAACCGATTTGAAGGCTGAATAAATAATGGAAGAAAGAACGTATAAGAGGGAAGTTGACAGATACAGCTGAAAAAGAATCAAGTCTTTAGCAAAACTTACCTGGAGACAGCTTGTTTAGCTCCTAACCCCTCTTTCAAACCCTTGCTTGCATTGCAAGGACAGCTTTGAAACATACAAGGCTGCTGATACACCACAGTTTACATCCCTGCATGTTAAGGTTACACAATATGTATTTCATACTACCCTAATCTTCCAGACTGAACCAGTAACCATGCAGTAGCTGCTCAGGTTGCCCAGGGCTTCTGGAGAAGGGGTGGAAATCTCAGATCACGGAGGACAGCTGGGAGCAGAAGCCACCTCAAGGTAAACCACTCACACTCAAGTTAAAGGCATGAAGATGTGCAGCACAGGATTTCCAGAAAGAATTACTAGCTTCATAGATCCAAGCTGCTATTAAATGTGCTGAAGAAACAGATGACAGGTCAGCTGAATACGCTAGAATTAAAGCAAAAGCAATACAACATAGCAATTGCTACCATAGAAGATCATGCCCTGAGTTTCTCATTTCTTGCTTTTACTGATTTCAAGTTAAAGGAATCAAGATTTTTTTTAAAACAGGGCATACTGTTCCAGCTTTAGTCGAGATGCATGCTCACCAATACAAGCAGTCAATCCCCACACTTTCCAGGCCATGCACACTATCAAAACCTTCAGGCAGTACAAAGCAACTACAGGAAGAATAAGAAAACAAAAGCAGAGGAAAAGAAAAAAAAAAACACCAACAAAGTACCAAGATTACATGGAAGCACTTATAGGAAACAGAGATTTCTCATAGTTGTTGAGCGAAATAGCTGACTGAAGTGTTGTACATATATTAGCCTATTCAAGGTTTTAAAAGAAAAATTCTACAATGCTGCATCTGTATCTATATTTTAAAATAGCAAGTCAGCCACTCAGGAATGGCTTAGCATATATTTTGGGAATAGAGTAGGACAGATGAGTCATTAACATCAGCGCTGTTTGTTTATATTGACACCTGTGGGACTTGTGAGTTTATTTCATTGTGCCCCTAAAATTTGATCTTTTTAGTTGAACCTGGAAACGCTGTCATACTACAGCAATTTCTGCCTGCTTGGCACAAATGAATTTCCATCAGATTCGAGTCAGAACAGCCAGAGGACATTAAAGGAAGCAACTCTATGGCCAATTCATCTAAACAAATGCAGAAGAAGTATCCTAGATACCCTTAAGTTTTCTATTTTGGTCTGATACAATGAACACCTTATTTAGGTGCAGTAGACATGGCCTGTTTGTAACAGCAACCAATGAAGTAAAAGGTAGTACACCTCTTACAATTGTGTAACTTCCCATAAAGTTACAGTTGAGGATTTCTTACAGGTCCTCTTCTAACAGGAGTAAAAATTTAAAAGAAAATCCTCACAGTATTGTACAGGGAATCCAATCCTGTTTCTTATAAAAAGTCTAGTTAAATATAATCAGAACAGATTGAAAGATGATAAGAATGTTTCTAAATACTGATGCATCCAACTGTTCAGCTTTCAGGCTGGTCTTTTTTTAAAATCCCTTTATGAATACAATGCTCTGACAAACAGCTGCTATTTTGTACAGGACAGTGTATTTCATATTCAGAGAAACAAAGTGATCAGTAACAAGTAAATGTTAAGAGCGTAACACACTGATTCAAATATCTAATGAGCAATCTTTTGTTTGCTTATTGATACCATCCCCCAGCAGAAGTTAGAGGAGGACTACTCCTTTAAAGGACATACTGCTTCTGAGTAGCTGTCACTATTAAACAATGTCTGCAAGAGTTAGGTGCTTGTCATGAATAGCATTATCACATAATCTAATAAATTAATTCAAATTAGAGAACAAGTGAAATTCAATTTACTCAACACATTTGCACACACTCTGAATATATCCCAGTTCTGCCTACTAGCACAGTGAATAAAGATTTCAAATCATATTAGAATCTTCCCTCAGTTCAGCCATGTGCACACTCTAGGAACCACAGAAAATCATGCTTTGCTTTCTTCTAGTTTCAGTTGAGTTTTGCGATCAAACTCTTCTGCAGAATTCTAGGCCAAATTACTAGGTGGTACAATTAAGCTAAGCTTCTAAAGCAGCCGAAGATTATTCTCCCAAGAAATCAAGAACTATTTTTCTACAAGCTGAACTTCCACCACTAGCAGATGAGTTAAAAAAATCCCATTCTGAAGAATTCTATGCATCCTCCGTTTATCTCACAAGTAGGATGATTGAAAATCAGCCATTTGACTTTCTAATATGAAATAAACCTAATTCTATCCCCTCAAAAAAAGCTACTTTTTAAATTAGCAAGCACTTAGAAACCAGCGTCATCTGTCCTCCTACTTTTTTAAACAATTCTCCAAATTACATTCTGCTATTAAAAATTCTTTACTAGACAGTGAGTGCTATAGTATTAATAGCTTAAAAAACTTAAAATGAAAAAAAAAATCAAGAACAAAGTAACTGAAAAATGAAAAGGCACTAAGTCCAAGCTGCATTTTACATGCACATACACATTTGTCTACATACGTAGCTTATAACTATGAATTCATAGAGAATGTGGTCTTGAATTTCTGGTGACTGGGGTAAGTACAAACTGCAACTGAACTGAAACAACTCAGAGCATAAAAAAAGACACGTTCTGGTTGATCTAGTCGAAACAGGTTAAGAATGTATCATCACTAGCTGCTTGTGTTCACTGAGCTGCAGAAGACATGTAAGCATTCATAGTCCATTTCAACACAAAACCGTAGCTGAAGTTGGCTTAAATTAAGCACTGTAATTTTGCAGTGAAACAGACTTCAGAGCATATAGAGTCCCTCAGGTCATCTACAGGAGCTTTGCAGCTTGCTCCTCTCAACTATTAGCCTCAACTCAATCCTCAGTACAATCAGTAACACGGAGGGTGTCCCCTGATGCTTGCTCCTTCCAGTACTGTCCTTTCTTTTTAATTTGGCTTTATCTAGTTGTTACTGTGGAAACATTCTTCAGAAAGCTGACTAAGCTACCAGCCCTGTCACGCATCCTTTCCCTTCTCAAGTCATCTTCTAGAATTAATAAGAGAAGTATTTTTAAAAACTGTACCGTTATTTGAAGAGCACCTTGAGTACTTCACAGCCTCAGTACTGAAATTTTCTGAAGTTTATGGTAATTTCTACACATAAATATTCTCTAAGCTACAGTTTTAACCAGGATACCACACAGAGGTGAAATTCCATAACAAGAATGAAAGATCCATCATGAATAAATTATAGTTATTTGTAAAACTAAACTTCTACCAAATGCTTTACATTAATTATAAGAACCATAATTTGTTTTTATTTAAAGGCATGAACTAAGTATTCAACACAATGGTTAACTCAAAAATAAGAAAAATTTAAAAGCCAAACAACCAAAAAACTCAAATCAACACGAAAAGGTTTTTCCTAAAGAACTTAACCAAAATATTTCCCAGGAAAAAGGGAATTATTAAGCTTAAAAGTACAATGCTCAAATATATACTTTTTATATTTTTCTAAACAACAACAATGGTAAAATCTCTGCAATACAAAAACTGGTACACTTACCTAGCATACGAATGTACAGCGCAGTCTGATCGGAGCTGTCATAGGAAATGGCTCCACGTCTCTACAAAAAAAGGGTATTTTATGCAAGTTAGAATGAAATTACTGCTCTTTCAATTTAAAAATGAAATATTAATTGTCCACGTACTCATTTCTCATAGCCTTTTAATTCAAATACTGGCAGTTCCTTGCTTATTTACTTACCCATGGGTTAACTCAGTTTGTAAAGCTACAACAGTTTCACAAGTAAAAGAACTTGAACGATACAGTTACTGTAATCCCAGGGATTACACCTATTTTCTGCAGGACAGGATGTGAATGGCACGTTTCCTTCCTTCCACCCAGCACTTTCTGTAGGCCAAGCAAGGTACCCATTTAAGGTATTCTGAAGAAATGTCTAAAAGAGTCATCAAGCTATCCATACACAACACACAGAGACCCCCAACAAGGATGCAATTCTTAACCTACACAAAACTGGCTTTAGAGCTCCAGAAACATTAAGCTGATGTGATAACAGTTATAGTTCAGGAATCACTGAGAATGTGATGAACTGGACCTGCAATAGCTAAAAACTAGGGGAAACGTTCATGTAGTTACACAACACCAGCATCATGTAGCCTTTAGAACTTGGCAAAAGCTAGCACTCAGACTCACATCTTTCCTTAGTGTGTATCCACTGTCTTCTCCCATTTGCCAACACAGGGCCCAAACCAATGCTATCTTGACCCTAGAATCAAAGGATTGCCTTCACAGTCACAGTTCAATTTCATAGTTACACAAGAGGGTTTTAGGTGGTTTTGTTTGGTTACTTTTTTTCTTGCCCAGCACGCTCAATTACATTCTGAACAGTGAAGTCCTGGGTGTCCCAAAGGGACATACCATATCCCTTGGAGAAGTTCAGGTAAAAACCAATGTAGGTGACTGCAGGAACCTATTTATTCCTTCCCCAGTAAGAAAACACTACACCAGGGCCATGGGACCAAAAACATTCAAGTCCAGAAAATGGGAAAAAGCATAGAAAAACAGAACTTGACTGCTGAGCAGAACTACAAGAGAAAGAAATAGAGATAAAGAAATTATTGGGAAGTGAAAAAAGACAAAACTGCTTACAAGAATCTATCTACAGTACAAACTGAATGCACTCAAAGAAAGCCTAGAGCTTAATGACCTCTATCAGCATGATTTCTGTAACTGGTGTGTTACAACTCCAAACCCAGAAAATATTAAAACAAAGTAACTTCTATGCTAAAAGAAGGAAGGAAAAAAAAACCACGAAACTTTGCACTTGAAATCAGAGAAGTTTCTTCCCAAAGGTAAGCTTAATATTTAATTACAGAAATGACCAAAGAACTACCTCTAAATCGGGTCCAATTATACTAGCTATTATATAAAAACTACAAGGAAGAACTCTCTGCACAGCACTTTTATACTGACTTAGCTTTTGTTCCATGTTTCCTTGAAAGATCATAAACAATGCAAATCATCCTTCTCTTGAAATATGTTTGTACAGCAGTTCACACAGCAGTGTGCCTGCCCTGACAGAGAAGTTAGCAATACAGCTCATCAGTCAGAAAATGACACTGATTTCCCACTAATGTGTCCAAATTTCTTCCTATGACCTTAGAATTTCAGCAAATCTCAGCTGGATGTTTTTTCAGTAGCCTGAAGTATTTCATATCATCGACTAAGTACAATCAGTGATGGAATTCAGTGCAAATCTGCAGTTTGCACTTGCCTATCACATTGATTCCTGGACACATCCAGTACAACCCTGTAACTGAATACAGGAGGAGGATCAGCACAAATGCAGTTAGAAGAACCATAATTAACAGGAGCCTTCACCTCTGAGACAGAAAACAATGCAAAGAAATTGATCAAAATAGAAATCCTTTTTATAGCATTATTTGCTAACTAAAATCTAAAATAATATTTGCTGGCTAAAATAGCAGATTCACAAGCACTTCTTAAGAACATAACCCATTAGCTTATACAAACATGTGAGTTAATTCTGCAGGGACAGGTATTCACAGGATTCACAGGAATCTTTATGCAACCAAACCTTCTAGAATCACTTTTCAAAGTTTGGTTTCCTAATGAAAAAGAAGCATTGTATTGTAAACCTCATTACTAAGACTTCAAAAGTAGTAGGATAGTCTCAACAGTCTCAACTAATGTTATTACAAGGGTAGAGATCCTACTGATGTTTCATTCACTGAAATTTGTTAAATAAAATAGGTAAGAGGAAAATCACTTGCTAGCAGGTTCTGCTGAGGGACAGGCACCAATGGTTGCTGGCAGACAGACCTCACACCTTTAAGCCATGTGGCTGGGGAGGGATGGAGCCAGGAGAACTGTGGTATACAGTCAGACAGAAGGGGAGTTAACAGTGTCCATGTTTATAGAAAACAATAACTCAAGTCCAAGCATACTGTCAAATTATTCTATCAAAATTGCTTTTTCTTTATCCTGATCTTGCTCAATTCTGTGAATAACATGAACTCAGTAAAACTATTTCTGGAGCTCTGTCACACTTCTTTGGTCTGCCTGAAGCTTTGTATCTATTAACTACAAGAGAACACACTGAACTCCTTGACCCTCTGTGTTTCTCAAACAGATAAGCACCATTCCAACAGGCAGACTGAACTGCTTGTGCTGAAACTGAAGACAATTCTAATGTGTTTAGGTAGTTCTTCTCAAGCACAAGGATAAAACTTAGTCCTGTGAGAATACCTGCTGGGCACCAAGCGATTCAACAAATTCGTCAAATAATTAGGCCAAGTTATTCTCCACTCCTTTCCATACAGGAGAACAACAGGCTAACCTGGGTGGGCTGTTCCGCTTCAACAGTGAAGACATATCAAAAAGACAACTGGGAAGTTGAAGGATTATTTACAGCGCACATCCACTTTGAAAACTTCACCTTAAATTTGAGTTTCCTATTAGAGCGTTATCTCTTTTTCCAAAGGCCAACACAGAAAAGTAGTAATTTTTCCTATCTTCTTTTCACATCTGTGTGGAAAGGGATTGGAAAAAGTTCAAATTCAAGTGGAAGACCACTATTCCTGTAATGATACAGAAATGACAGAAAAATGGGTAAAGGGAATATCTATCAACAGATTTCCTTCCTGAAAGTCTTTTCACAAGTGAACAGAAAATTAAGAGTCATGCTATGGGAATGATGCACCAAAATAGCACATAGCTGCATCTTTATGAAAGGGAAGCCACTTCACTGATGCTACATAGCATAAACATTTAATAACTGGGAAAAGTGCACTGCTCTTTTTGGAAGAAGTTGAAGGGATAGAGTCCACCTTCACCAAGTTTTGCTGATGATACCAGAACAATCGGCTGACACATCTGAAGGCTGTGCTACCATTTAACAAGACCTGGACAGACTGGAGAGTTGGGCAGGGAGGAACCTGATGAGGTTTAACAAGAGCAAGTGTAGAGTCTTGCAGGTAGGGAGGAATAACTGCATGCATCAGTACAAGTTAGGGGATGACCTGCTACAAAGCATTCCTGCAGAGAAGGACTTAGGTGTCCTGGTGGACAACAAGCTAGCCATGGGCTAAGCAGGATGCCCTTGTGGCCAAGAAAGTCAGTGGGATCTTGGACATGAACAGCAGGTCAAGGGAGGTGATTCTCCCCATCTACTCTGCCCTGGTGAGGCCACAGGTAGATTACTGTGTCCAGTTCTGGGCTCCTAGAAGGCCACAAAGGTGATAAAGGGTCTGGAGCATCACCCATATGAGGAAAAGCCGACACAAAAAGCTAACCTGGGTCTGTTCAGCCTGGGCAAAAGACAACTGAGAGGGGATCTGATAAATGTTTATAAATACCTAAAGGGAGGCAGGAGGCAAAGGGATGAGGCCAGACTCCTCTCAGAGGTGTGTAGCAATAAAACAAGTAGTAATGGCCTAAAACAGAATCACAGAATGGCCAGGGTTGGAAGGGACCTCAAGGATCATGAATTTCCAACCCCCCTGCCACTTGCAGGGCCACCAACCTCCTCATTTAATGCTAGACCAGGCTGCCCAGGGCCCCATCCAAGCTGGCCTTGAACACCTCCAGGGACAGGACATCCACAACCTCTCTGGGCAGCCTGTTCCAGTACCTCACCACTCTCTCTGTAAACAATTTCCTCCTGACGTCCAAAACCTGAACACAGAACATTCTGTACTAACGTGCAGAAGAACTTCTTTACACTAAGAGTGATGGAGCACTGGCACGGGTTGCCCAGAGAGGTTGCATTGTCTCCTTCCATGGAGATATTCAAGATCCAGCTGGACACTCACCTGTGCAACCTATTGTAGGGTACCTGAGTTCAACCCCCGTGCTAAAGCAATGATCTCTTGAGGTCCCTTCCAACCTCTGTAATTCCATGATTGCTCTGTTCAAGCCAGAGAAGTTTCCAAGGATCAGTTTTATCACAGCAATTCCCTCACCCAGTTCAGAGCAAAGCACAATAATTAATGTCAGGCACTTAAAGATGGAGAATGTTCACTAGCCAGACTTCAGGCTGCCAACTGAAGCAATTGCTGATCTCGTTCCATAATGGCAAGAAGAAATTGAAAGAGCAGTAGGTTTTCAAACACCAGTATCTCCTATCCAAACGAAACAACCTATACTTTCTGATGGGGTGCACAACTTTCATTTTGCAACTCAGTTGTTTACTCAGACTCTGGAAAAGAAAGCTAGAGGACAGCAACGCAGCCAGTCAGATATTTTTTTACCTACTTGGCTTTTCTGCCAAAGATATTTGCCCAACATAAAGAGAGACTGTTCTCAGCAAGAGAAATTGAGAACAAGTTCAGAGGAGTTACTGTGTTATGGTAACTGCAATTTGCTGATCATGCTGTGCCTGTGTACACCCTTGGAAACAGTTTAACATTCTAAGACGGTTTTTCAACTAGAAGCACCTAGAATGACAAACTCATTAGACTAGATTTCTTTCACTATTATTGGATTTCAAAAGCGAGACTGTCATTTAATGCAATTCCTATAATGATTTCGGTAATTAAAAATTCCTGAGTGTTCCACAAGATACCACCAAAGTTTCACTCAGTGAACTACTGGAAAACGCTCCTTAAAACCAACGAAGGAGTTGTCATTAACCAAAGGCAAGCCACTGCAAGACAGTCCTACTACGATTTTGTAAATTGTTCATTGAAGTTCAAAGCAGTCATTTTAAAAGTTTATCAGACCAGAGATATGAAAATGTATTTAATTTCAGGAAGGCAATGCTAATAAGCAATCCGATTAACTTTATGCATGTATATGTCAAACATTTGAATGTGGCTACTTCATATAAATATCAAACCGAGACAAACAGTAATTGACTGTTGTCTTTCCTCTCGTCCATCCACCTTAGAAGTACAGCAACTGGAATAATATCTTTCCCTAAAGTTTCATTAGTTTAAAAGCTTAAGATTTTAACAGAAAGATACAAAACAAAAGCTTGAAAATTGATCAGAAAAGAAAGCATATTCAGAAAAAGCACGTGACTTACCATAGTGAAGAGAGAAAACCTTAACAAATTAAGCTGGGATAACAGAAGGGCACAGAAGCAAAGTGAGGTGATTGGATGAACACACCAAAACATATTTAAAAGAAATGACCACTAAGTGATTAAGAACATAACTATGAGTTTTTAATTGTACTATCAGCTATCTGGAAGTACTATTATTCTCCCTTTAATAAGCAAAACAAATGCATACTGGCATACTGGTTTTTGTTTGCTTGTTTAACACAGATGACATACTCAGCTAGCATAATCTGTCTTCATCATAAACAAACATTTATTAGTGTACTGTGATCTTTTGCTAGCAACTAAGCCTGGCCACTTTTGCCTGAGTAAATTTGGAACTGCCTTGCTGGTAGTGACTGACGGCTCAAGGTAAGGAGACTTGACAAAGTTTGGTTTGACAACAAATTCAAATTTCCATTTGTCAGATTCTCCTGCTGATTGTACAAAACAATAAAATATGAGTATTAATAAAAATATCCATCTGTATAAAAATGAAGGAACTCCGATTTCTTTCCACTTCCCTCATTCTCTGCACTGATTCCAGCCCTCCTTCACGACAAGAAACTTAACTGCACTGCTCCTTTTGGAATTAATTTCAAGCTAGGCAGTGAGCTGTGTTGTGAAGAGTTTGATCTGAGTTTCAGACACCAATTCCACCCTCACTTATTACCATCATATACATTATGTGGATACTTATTTTCTTCAGAACAATAGAGTAGAAACTCCTAAGTTTGCTGAATGCTAGCCCACATTTTTCTTAACACAAGCATCTGCAGCTGAAAGTCTACAAAGTGAGAGAAGTAGCTGGTATTTCACCTAAGCAAACAAAACTGGTATTTCCACTCCCCCAGCCCTGAAATCAACAACACAAAAAGGATATCCTGTCCAGGAAGCAAAACACTAATTTGAATTATTCTCACTATGTTTAAAATTGTTTTTCCTTATTTTCACAAACTCTTTAAAGTGCTATAAAATTGAAGAGCAGCAAACCAAACCCTGCCCTTTGGAAGGCATTTCAGATCCTTTTTCCAGTTTCCTAATTGGCATTGCTGCACACATACCCTTCCCGCTTGAAGCCAGGAAGAAGTCGAGAGCCATAAAATCATGTTTGAACACTTAAGAAATGCAATCTGAAGTTACGAATGATGTATTTCCAAAACAGATTAGAGTTTAAAAAAAAAAAGTAAAATAAGAACTTATGAAGTTCTTAATGAGTTGTTTTCTCTCAGGCTACTACTTATAAAACCATTTAGTCAAACCGTAACAATAAAATGACCTACCTTAGAAGTAATCCATTTGATAAGGATCAGAGTTAAACACCAGACTGATGCAATTCCCATTGCATCGCCTGAAAGCGTAATCCCCTCCCTGACCCTCGTGGTGCCACAGGCTGACTGTCCCTGAGCCTGCAGGACCGCATGCAGCAGGACAGGAGGAAGCGAGGCTGTGCTGCAGCCCAGCAGCTGCAGGAGCCCTGTCACCTGACAGCCCAGCAACATGGAAGCGCTGCCCCACGCCTCCTGCCAGGAGCTCTGGATGAGAAGGCACGACAACCAGAGGACACAGGCAACATTAAAGCCTTATAACATCCACAGGATTTAGTAAAGGAGATTAAAAACCACAATTACACTTATTATATGTATTTTAAGGCAACAAAGCTTGCTAGACTCAGGATCAGCCTATTACAAAATAGCAGTGGGCTTATTTTATGAAGATCCCATGTCCAACAGATTTCACCCCACCTGATACTCAGAAGGCCCCCTTCGCCTCTACCACCCAGATAACTACAATGAACTGAACTTCAAAACATATTTCAAGGACCCTTTTGTAGCAAGTTACTAAAAATAAAGTGATGAAAAAAAAATAATGCACTTAATACATGCAGTCATTAAAACCAGTTGTGATTCTCTGATCTCTCATGTCCACCCAATACTGAGTCATCTTTTATAGTACCTTCACAGCTATCTGTGCTCATGCCTGAACTATGAACTAACACATTTCTTCAGCTTAACATTGAAATAGATGAACTCACCCTCATGTCCTCTCTCACTCAGCCAGGGTTTCCAGGGTTAGCAAGAATCATCATTTCCTCCAAGAGCACTGATAGCACATCTTTTGCTCTTTCCCCTCTGCTTGCCTCTGAATACCAGTCAAACCAAAACCATAGGCACGAACATTCAATCAAAATGCACCATTTCGTACCCTGCCTAATACAGACCTTATCTGAAAGGTTCATACCCACCCAAAACATAATCTGTCATGGATGTAGATTTACAAGCATTATCGTCTTCAAACACTTCACCTAATTGTGCTGACAATTAGTAATCACCAATCTGGTGTTAGCTAAAAGAACAAATAAAATCAATAAATGGCATTAGGCTGTATCTGCATTGTCAGTTTGACACAACTAGCCCAGATAAGAGCACAGTGGCTATGGGCAACTTTACATCCATACTATATGAGGCTCAGGAAATATATGTGTATAGCCCAAGGCCACATGCAGCCAAATTTTCTGAATTGGACCCTACCACAGGAGGCTAAAAGCTGCCAAAATTCAAATGCTTCATGAGGTAATATTTCCACTGTATAACAAATATTGCATACAAGCCAGCATCTAATTCATCCCTTACCATCAGTTCAAATGCACCAATGCATACAGTATTGCCTACAGTCTTCAAACAAATATCCCAATGACAATTTAAAATTAATGATACAAGACACTGTAAATCCACCTAAGCAAAAGCATATTCTACTATGTTCTACTACCACTTTTTCCTTTGCTGAGTAAATCTTCTCATATCATTCTTAAAAAAAAAAATACCATACACAAGATTTCATTATCAATATAGCTGAAAGAGGGTCTCAGAACAGTTGTTACAAAGATTCCACTAAAGAATTCACCCAAGTTGTCAGTTTGCTTTCATTCTGAAAAAGCTGTAATATGGGACAAGCTGCTACCACATTCCAAGTAGCTCTCCATTGATAGGCCATCATGATTTACCTTATTGCTTCCATATATGCATCTGGGAATCTGCAAGGCTCTTTTATCCCAAGGACTAAGTACAGGATCACAATTTTAATTGTATATTTCTAAGTACTCATTTGTCCCATTATTTTTAATGAATTAAGCATAACTCATTTTCTTCCAAACCTCCGTAACTACTACATCTACAGATGCTTCTTTAAATGCTTTTCACGAAAATAAAATAAATCCAGCAACACCTACAAGAAACTCACAGCTGAAATAAATGCACCCTATTTCGTATACATTATTGGATCTGATACGATACTCCTGTCCAAATGCAGCAGGGTTTCACATATCTCCACCTCCACGTATTTTTTAATGCAGAATTTTGAAGCCTGCCACAAATCACTCCTACTTCCCAGACTGACCTGATTTCACAAGCACATACTTGTAAGCTGGCCCAGAAATTAAATCTCTGTGGGGGTCTCTGCCCTTCAAATGTCATCTTCTCAAACAAGTACAGAAGAGTGACTTGTTGCACTTGGATTTTTAGGATAAGGTCCTGTCTGATCCATTACTTGTTCTGGACTGGTCAGGGAACTTAACCACAAAAACGTTAACAACATGTAAATAACAGAAAAGGAATATACTTATCATTCATCAAGTCATCTGCACATAATGCAAGGGCTAAAGTAGCTTCTATCTTTTCTTCACATTTCTCCTCGCCTCACCATCTATCATTTGTGATCTGTCTCCCTCTAGCACCCTTCACTAAGACTGTATCATATGGTAGTCCAAGAGAAGCACTCCTACAACAAAGGTAGCTACCGCTGCAGCCCAAGCTAAACACTGAACACCACACTCAAGGAAAATAGGTGGAAAATATCCCATTATTTTTATGAACGCTAAGAATAAGACTTTGAGAATTTCATAATACATAGACAATGGCCAATTTTTATAAATGCTACTTCTGCTTATGCCTTAATTTAAAATGTGACCTAAGGTTCTTCATTTCAACTTCTTAATTAATGAATTTGCCATGCTGAAAGGGAGGCACATGATCCCAAATATTTTTATTATTAATGCCTCTTATCAGCTAGTGAGCAATAAGCAAACACAAGAAATAAAAGTAGCAAAATTCACCTCTGTTACCAGACAAAAATAGCCGTCATTACCCAAGTCACTGCAATCAAACTCAAGAGGCTGGCTGATCTTAAAGCAAGGCTTACAACTCCAGAACTTGGCCTTCCAAAAGCCAAAAAGAGCTACTGATCCAGAATGTTGAATTTTCTTTACAAATGTTTTTAAGTTTCAGACATCTTCCACTACAGTCTTCAGTGAGCAAGAGAAAGAAGAGAAAGGATCCAATCTCAGAGAATGAACAGAATCCAACAACTTTTTACTTCCTCATTCATCAGCTACCTTAACATATTATCAGGATCACCCTGTGTGCACTTGGACATTATTTCCAAAAAGGGTTATCAGGTATTATATATTTTGGTAGGGAAATACAAAGCTTTGCCAAAGTAAGCAGGCTACTCAATGTTGCATTTTTCTGATGGCTGTTTTTAGTTCTTGATTTTTTTGCTCAACATCACCACATTTGCACAGGTTAACAAAGATGGCCCTGAGTAACATGGCAAAATGATTTGACAAAAATGCATGCATCTCAGTTTAGCAATGAATTAATTTCCAAACATCTAGAAATAAGTTATTCCCAAAATGCTTCTTTTGAAATACAAATTAGAATAAGCTCTTAGTTTAAACTCTTTCATATCACAAACTGTGATTAATCTTTCGGTTGTTTCTCCAATGTAGTGCACTTCCAACTCTAGAAATACAAAGAATATACTATTGGAAATTTAAAGCAGCTAAACTGGTTCATCTGTCACTGGGCCAGTTTGTACCACACAACCCTCATTCTTATAAAAACATATTTAGCCAAAGAACATAAATTCTATAGCACAGTATTCGCATTCAATCTGGCTCCAGTTTTCTGAGGCTATTTACTTACAATTGCATTTTAAGGGACATTCAAATAAATAAATAAAAAAAAAAAGTAGAAAAACAGCACTTAAGTGTAAGCAAAGAAGAGAAGAGTGTTGGAACTCATTTTCCAAACTATTCCAGCCTTCATTTTCCAAAACAAAGATGAAGGATTTGCCTTTTTGAATAAGTAACCTCTATTACTAAAATAACCTGAGTTTTTGTTTGTTTTGGTGGAAGGAGAGGGTTGTTTTAATGTAGCATTCATGACAGAAGATACTTTAGCAGATTCTCAGCAGAAAGAAGTCTGACTGAAGTTTCAGTGACCTCTACTTACACAATGTAGCATAAAGAATTACTTCAGTCGCTTATATGCTTTTGTGAGCATAAACTCTTCAACAAATTTTTATCTTTGATTTGGGATGGTTGGGGTCAGAGGGATATGGGAGGGCAGACAGCCACCACAAATAAAAAAAAACAGGTTAATGTACACTTAAATGTATGCTTAAATAATACTTTGACAAACGTATACATAGTGTTATTAGGCACAAAATGCTCTACCTCAGTGTATTCTCTCCCAAAAAAGCAACCATTTCCAATACTGGTTTAAGTAATGAAGTTCATTTACTGCAGAAATGTCAGCAAGCACTGCCACATCTGTATTAGCATTGCTCAGTCCTCACGCACAAAACTTCCACTGTGAATTCCCACTCCTGTTGAATCAAATCCTCAACCAAGTGAAGAATTGTGCTGTGTTTCAAGATTCATTTAAGGCACTTCCCCGCTTTTTGCTTCCCCAAGCCTTGCTTCCTTCCTACAACCTTCATGAGGATTGCACAAAGGAAGCAAGGGCTTTGTTTAAATCCACCAAACTTAGGCTTCTGCTTCTCCCCAGAGAAGAGATGATGGCAAAAAGTTCTACTCCGCTTCTACAAAGTGCTCTTGGAAGAAACAACAACAAAAAAGTTAATTAAGAAGTTATTAAGATGACAGTCTACGCCTAAGTATTTTCCACGTTCTATTTGGGAGAAACATATTTTTCAACTGTCTGCAGAACTCAGACTTATTACCTTGGACATAGAAACACCTTAGAACAGTTGTACTCAACCAGGGCTGGTCTACATCTGTTTGCATCTGCCTGCACCCGTTTGTGGACACTGGCATCTGCTGACTCACAAAAGGTCTATGGCACAGCAAGAAATTAGGCTGTTTTCAGAATACAAGATGAATGCTTTTGTCCATAATGTAGGTGAGGAAAAAAGCAGAACAGTTATTAAAAGACAAGTGCTGTCAGGGCCTTCAGCTTGCAACCCAGTCACTCAAGACAGACTGCGTTCTGAAAGTAAGGCATCCAAAGGCCAAGTTTTAGCTGCTCTGAGTTACTGATCTAAGCTATTAAATGCATCTTCGCACAGACTGAGTGCTAGCTGGGAAGCAAACTGAGAATTATTTCAATTTTAACATGCTTCATGTTTTGCAAGTAACCTGGCTATGTAAGTGAAAACAGATGAACAGTAACACGTGACAAGAAAAGCTAACAGTGTTCTAGATACTGTAACGAAACTGCTACGTTCTGTTTCTAAAGCACATCCTTCAAATGGTGAAAGACTGTAGTACTGCCTGTCTTAGGTTTCTAGTTAAATATAAATTCAAGATACTGAGGTTGTAATCTCACAGAAGGACAACATCAAAAAAATGTCAACATATCACAACACTAGAAAAGGAACATAAGGGAAAAAAACCAAAACAACCATAGTAGTTGCATCTTACTATAACCCTTCATAAAATATCTACAGAAGACACGAAGCATACAAGTCTGCCGTTTAAGTTGAGTACTTAAGCTGTGGAACAAGGAAACACAGGAAGCAGTCAGGGCCCCCGCGGCACATTTGTGGAGCCCATGAACGCAAGGAGCAGAGACGAGCAGTGCCACAAGTGGATGCGGGAAGCCAAGGGGGCAGAGCACAATGAGAGCTGCTGCACTCTGCTCTTTGACTTGCTTCCTGGCTTCTCCCTCTTTCAGAAATGAATAGACTGAATAAGAAAGCCAGGTCGCTTGTGTGTGGATCCCATCTGATGGGTAGTCTCCCATAGCAGATAGCTTCTAGGTCGACCCCAGTTGATGGGTAGGCTCCTGTAACTATGTGAGCTCACCTCCCTCAACATTATAAGCATTCCCCTGCCTTGTACTTGTCATCAAGTATTTGTTTCTCTGGTATTGCTAAAGGAAATGCTTCTAACAGACCCCATCCATGCTTCAATACACTTACTGGTGAGCATTATGAGTTAAAAGAAAGTTAAAATATTGTCATCTATTGAGACTCCCCTCCCTCAGTGGAAATTGAGTTTCCATTTATTATAACCAGGTGTTTATTCAAAGAGTTCAGGTAACATTTTCAGATTCTATTTGTTAAAAAAAAAAAAAAATAAAGGTTCCAACAGGAAAAAAATCAAAATAAAAATTCAGCATTTTTTTAGCATATACACATTCAATAAAGATCCAAAAATATGCTAAACATGTAAAAGGTAGTAGTAAAATCAACATTTCTGGTTCCCTGTTGGCAATGGTACAGAAATGTAAAAACATTATGTTGTCAAAAAAGATCAACTTTAAAGGGGGAAAGCTGAAAGTTTCAGATTAATACATTAAGGAGAGCTGGCAACAAATGATTTATTTCAGAGCAAAACTAGCCCAGCCTTGTTTTTGATCATTTCCATTAAAATACCAAAATGACTACCCAGGTCAAACACTGAAACTAGTTATTACCGTGTGCTGTCAAATCCACAAATCAGTATAGTATTTTAATAATATAATGGCATTACAAATGAAAAAAATAATTAACTGAAATAGTCACCACAGAGTTTATAAAGATTAAAGAGATTCAAAGCGAGATCACCCTGGCCATGCTCAAGCATTTCATTAAAAAAGCAAATCACTTAACTAAGAAGTGACAGATGCTATCTGAAATACAGAAAAAAGATAAAGTTACATTTTTGAAGTGAAAGAAGTTGAATGTAGTTGCCTAATGTAACTTTTTAAGCTTGTGAAAAAATGCAGTTAGGGTGTGCTACTATTATTTATGGAGAAAATTCTTCTGGAGACTCTTCCCACTAAACACTTCTTTTGGAACTTGCTGATGCACCATATCCAAAATGCTTGTAGTTTTCCATGAGTTTTCCCAAGAACTAATTAAACCTACAGCCACCCAGGCTAAGCTGACCAATTTCAACTGAACTGGTTAACCAGACCCATTGCAGCTGAACTGGTTAAACTCAGAACAGCTCTAATGAGACTGGGTGCTGACATCCCTAACCTTCCCTAAGCCAGGTCAACACCCGCCATTGCAACACTCACCTCACTCTCTGGGTTACGCTGCACTACTGCCAGCTTACCACCTTTTAGTGAGCTACCTGTACTTCTCTATCTTACCTACTCTCAAATTCTCCTTCTCTGACCCGTACAGGTTACCAATTTCTCACAGTAAATGCATTAAATAAAGTTCAATAATGGAATTTTCATACAATTGACACATTTTATACGCATGTACGCATTCTTAAAGTAGTCACTGCACTAAAATAATATTCTGTTGGTATGAGGGTGCCAACAACACATATATCCAAAGATTTTCCATCAAAACTCTACTCTGCTTATTTCAGCATCTCACCCACTGAGGAGGTAAGGAACCATTAACGGAGAGCTTCTCACCAGTGCCTTGCCTTAGGTCTGCCAGTCTTAGACTTCATTGGAGACACTGAAGTTTCAGCCTTTTCTTACAGAGAGGTCAGCATAAAATGCTCCCTCTTGGATACGGAGAATTTTTTTGTTTGTTTTAAAAACATCATTAAAGAAAGAGCTGACAAAGTAACAACAGAATTACAAGCTCAGAGCTAAACTAGCCCAAAGCAGCCACATGAATGCAATCCCAGATTAACTTAAAGGAGGTATGGAAACAGACACGCAAAGAAAAGTGCTCTATAAATAAACTAATGAAATTTTGATACACTTCACAGCTGGTACATTGACAGGAAAAAGGTGAAAAGTTTGGATAAAGGTTTGCGGACTTACTCAACTACAGCTAATATGTGTACAGCCTTCTCTAAAATACGATATACTCGTACAGAACTCTTATTCTACCTGGATGTCCATTTTATCATATTTGTAAGATTCCAAGATCTCTCACTATTAAAAAATAGCGAAGATTAAATAATCTTTTTCCTAGGATTTCAATTCTGATTTTAATACTCCATTTTTGAAGGTAAAAAGATATGTTCATTGTCAGGCATTGATATGAAATGGAAATTGAATTTAAGAATCTAGTATATAAAAAGATCAGAAAGTAGGATTTAAAAGAGTAACATTCCAAAAACTTAGTTCCAGTTATGAAGGCAGTTCCAAAAGTAATGCCTCCTACTTCACTGTGTTGGCCCACAGTGTCAGCAGCAGATGTTGGTAGTACAGCAATAGAGGCTGAACGTTCCCACCAATACTCCGTTCCATTTTGTTGCTGTGTGACAGATGGCAGCAGAAAGCAGTGTGACAAAATGGCGTCTGACATGGAAGTGCATATGGAGCAAAGGGGTTGAACCAAATTCCTCCATGCAGAAACAATGGCACCCACTGACATATATCAACGCTTGCTGAGTGTTGATGGAAACCAAACAGTGGATGTGAGCACAGCGTGGCAGTGGGTGGTGCGTTTTAGCAGTGGCAACAGCAGATCGCCTCTGCTGGTACAAATTTTTAAGAATACAGCATACAGGCTCTTGTTCAACACTGTTGAAAATGTATAGCTAATGGTGGTGACTACATTGAAAAATCACATTTTGTAGCTGAGAATTTGTTGTATCAAACAGCATTATTGTGCTTTTCGTATGTGTTTTTTTGTTGTTGTTGTTGTAGTTTCTATGGAAATAAATAGGAGGCATTACTTTCGGCACAACCTAGGTAGTTAATCCTGCAAGGATAGTGGAGTGGAAGGAAATAAAAGCAGTATAATTCTGACATTGTTTCCTAAAGAAACAAGAATTGTAGCAGCACTAACAAGAATATTTATCTGTGAAGCTCCTTGCCACCCACTGGACACCTGTCAGTCTTGGCAGCGGCCTTTATGCGCCCATGTAAAGAAGATTTTTGCATGGCATAGCCCTCTCTTGACCAAATTAGGTTAACCTCATCTGCATTGACATCAGTGCCTATAATTTTGGAATCTCATCGACAGAAATAGCTTATCACAGGGCCCAGCATACAAATTAAGCATCTGTACAGGGCACGCTGAACTTGTGGAAGTGCTGAAAAGCTGTAGTGGAAAATCTTAGCATAGGCTTTGAAGTGACACCTAATTATGGCAATGGTTAGGTACTCCCCCTATTTAACATCTTGGGTTTAGTCCACTTGTAGCATTCTTTGTTTGCACACAAACTAGCGTTAAAATCTGTCATTTTAACCAAGAACTCTGGCCAACAATTAATTAATTCAGCACGTTTGAAAGCTCCTAAAATTTCTGGTGTATAGAAATCGCTTGTAAGTTTATTGCCAGATCCCAGCTTTGGTCTTCAGACTTGGTTTCATTAGTCAATCCCATTTCTGGTGAGAAGCCATCTCATCTTGCCATGGGATTATCTCCAGTATTAAGCCTGTGCTGTGTGTCACAAACTAAGACGCAATTAATTTTATAAATATTACATGACTTAAGCAGCAAGAGGAAAATGTAGTATATTGGATCATCATGATTTCCTTATGAATGTTTTGCTCTAATACTATAGAAGGACTAAGGAAAGAAGCAAAATGCCAAAACAAATAAGCTACATTAAGCAAAGCATTTGGAAAATGAGGGAAAAGGAGAGCAGGAACTTGCATGACTGCTGCCTAACTGCAAGCTTGGAGAGAAGCATCAGCTCAGCACTGTCAGAGCTGGGAGATGCTCATCAAGAGGCGTACAGAAGTGTTTGCACTGTTCTCCCAGAGAAAGGAGGATCTGCTGTCAGTTACTGCTCCGCAGATGATGGAAGACAGGCTTTAATTATACTGAGAGTCACGTCTTTCTCACCTCCTGAGGAAATTTTAAGGCTTATGGAAATACAGATGAGCACACAGAATTAAATATCAGAAGAACAGAACAATAGGAAACACTAATGCCATTCTTTCCTTTAAAATAGTTCTTGAGTATGTATGTCACTGCTCCTGAAGAGAACAGGACAAAGAGCTCTGAGCCTGCCCATAAAGGCTCACCTACAAAAAAACAGAAAAACCCAGCCCCTAGCTGAAGATCCTGGGGGGGTCCTTGCACACTTCTGTTGGCTTTTTTTATTATTATTATTATTGTTAAGGAAGAAATCTGTCTGTCAGATATGCAGAGCCTTGTTTCTCATGTTGTAAATCAGTATACCATCATCGCAATTACCCCCAGCATCTTCCTTCCTATTTCCTAAACAAAGCTACAAGTTTTTCCTCATGCCTCTAACAAACATTTTAAATGCGCAATCAAGTGACTCACTCTCATCCTACTGACCCCTTTTTTGAATCATATCCCATCAAATAATACTGCAGGAGAACAAGAAAGTAAAGGTACTGTGCACATCCTATGGCTGACTCACCAACCTGGTTCAAGTCCTGCTGCACACCATGCCAGAGAACTTCTGGAAAGCCCCAGTGAAAAGCCCAGTTCCTGGTCCTTCATTAACTTCCCAAATTGCGAATTGCAAGAAAAATTTCTGAATCCTGAAAACTACAAATCAATTATTTTTCAACACTGAATTTTTAGCCTGCTTTGAGCAAAACGAGTATTCCTAGCAAATTATTTCTATTCTTCAAGAAAATGTCAGACGTGATCTTCCAGACAAGTGAAACATATTTTGGAAAATATCCCGTGCTGAAAAGTTTTCATAGCAATAATTTATTAGCCAACACAGTCAACTGTTTATAACCCATAGTTACAATGTTGTTAATTTTATGTCCCCTCCCCCCAAAAAAGAAAACACAGATGTAGCTTAACTCTTACAACATACACTTTTTTTTTTTAAATAGACCAAGAGTAAAATTACATGCTGCTTTTCCCAGAGCTCTCAAGTCAATATAAGCACATAGGTTAGTGCTCCCATAATTAAGTCATAATTATTTATTTAAAAAGAGAAGTGAAAGGTCTGAAATGGCAACAGGCCTCACATATTGCCAAGTGCTCAAACTGTGAAGGCAGAACTATAATTTTTTCAGTGGCATCTCTTGATGAGAGAGCACTCATCAAAATTATCAGAGTATTTCACAAGTATTCATTTCAAAACCCCATCCCAACACAAAGGTCACAGCCCAGACCTCAATCCTTCTGGGCACCCTATTTAAGATTGTTAGGATTGTATTCTTCCAGTTCATAAATCATTATGTCCCTCCTAGTAGCACAATTCCTCC